GCCGCACTGCCAGAGGCCCCGTGCCTCGACCTTCACCCCTCACACGTAAAGTGCTACCAAAGCATGGTCACTCAGCGGTTCGCTGCTGACCAACTGCGCCATTCCTAAGAACGGAGGTATCCCCAGTCTGAAATAGTATGCAAAATAACGGTACCGGTCATTGCAATTTGTCCCGAGTTCGATCACGTTTGAAGCCGAACTGATGAGTGGCTAAAATCCGACCAATCACCAAGCGTAGCCTCATGTAGACTCATGTTGAAATGATGAGATTTAATATATTTTTGTCCCACTCGGGCAGTAGAGCATACAAACTTTAAGATAGCAAACAATGCCACTGTGCGCCAGTTCACATGTAGTTCTCTGTAGTGTCGCACTGCCCCGATGGAGACTCCATGCTATTCCTCCACCCCTCGCACACAATGTACTACTTTGACAAGGTCATTTAGGATTACGTGAGCTTATCGTAATCACCGCGCCAAGTGGCGCAGGCTTATTGTCATGTTCTATGGTGCCGTTATCCGGATGCATGTCAAGATCTTCATTGACATTGAAGTCGACCATTCAAAGGTTGCAGACCACGTGGATCTTTGAGACGCCATTGCAACCACCACGATGTCAATGTTGGCCTCAACATACAGTGCCAACTTGGACCACAAAACTCTCTTCAAATCGCCCGTCTGAAATGGTTTATTGTACTGTAGGCAAGCTGCTTGCATGCCAGCTTTTTTCCATTTTGACTTTGGAGTACCAACTGGAAAACCCTTGTGATACTTTTCATTGTCCAAAAACATGGTAGTATTTTCAACTCCATTTTCGTCGAATGCCAGCAAAAGTTTGAAATACCACACCACAAAATAGGAGTGATTGAACATTCCATGGTAGTCTTTGGTCTCCTTCTTGTCGTTTCGCCCACCGTGGAAAATGTCCAAAATACAAACAACTTTGACCCCACACCATTAATGTCAGCAATGGCAGCGATGGAACAGTAACGTCTGCCTTTGTTGGATGCTTTGACGTACATGTCCTGCTCGTCGTTGGGGCCGTAAATACTAGGGAGAGTCAAATTGGAAATCTGTTCTGCTTTTAATTCGCATGTACGATTTTCGTTTTTGCGAAAAGCAAAAGTA